TGACCTGCAAGTGCAATAATGACCCAAAATTACGTCCCTAGTATCCAACTCATCGTCATCTGTCACATCGTTATTGTATGCTATGAATATTTGATGCTTTGTTGCACGACGAAATCGTGAGAAAATCCGAACCCTTATCAATCCTGGTTCCCCGAGAAGGGAATCGAGTTGGAACTCCTCTTGTCCATCACGTTGCATCTTATCTTGTATGTACGATGGTGCCAGGTTGACCTGAAACGTTCCCACAGTCAAGTCCCGTAAACTTTCCAATGACAAACGTGGAAAATCATGTAACTGACCATTCTGAAGATGAATCCATTGTGCATTCCTGGTACACATTCTCTCAACTTCTACTCGTGCTTGAACAACGTTCACTTCCTTCGACCTATTCAGGAGCTCTTGTGCCAATTCCGCATTGGCTCCTTCCATTTGAATTAAGGGGTGATACGCATTAATTATCGCCCCCGCAATATTATAAAACTCACCAAGATGATGAAGATGTGGCACTATAATTGTATGGTCGAAGAACTTGAAAATTGTTTTGATATGCCCATTTCTAGCTTCAATTATCCATCTAGTTTTCGTTACCAATCGAGACTCATTACTTTCTTCAGTAGATAACTGTTTCTGATTTGGCATAAGAAAAGCTGGCATTCTATTATCAATCCCTAGCTCTTGCAGTAATGGCTGAACATCTCGATATCCACGATCCAATATCAAAATATCTCCATCGTGGAACCACTCTCTCATGGTGTCAGCATCGCGTCGGAACTCGTTACTCAACATTTGAGCATCATTATTGTAATAATCAGAGAAATAAGGTCCCTGAATCGCCAATATGTACCCATCTGGAGCAACTATCAGAGCAGGTTTGATCAAATGTCGACCTTTGTGAATTGAATATGATTGACGTAGAACACGAAAATTACTACTTTTCTGAATGTACGAGTAAGTTCCGTCAATATAAGCAATAACTCTCGGGGAATCTGGTTCAGGATTATATAATTCATTAGCGAAAGAAGTTACATGATCCACTATATATTGTTCCCGAGTAATGGCTTGGAAACCGATATTGGCTGGGACAAATCTATAAAGAAGAGATTGGCGAACGTTTGCAATTGCCAAACCAACCGCTTGTCGAGATGAATATTGGAATAGAACCTTGAGAAATTCATCAGACAACCCTTGTCGTAGTTTACATAGAAACATCAAGAGATCTTTCTTACTGATATTTCTAACACCACGTGCTTGAGGAACGGGGTCGCAATATGTATACAGTTCTCGGAACTGCTCTTTTGTGATAGGAGCTATGGATGCGAACTCTTCATCAGTGAAATCATTTTCATTTTCATAATTGCACTTGTTAAGTGCTACATCACGGAGGGATTGTAAGAAGATTTGCAACTCCTGACCTTTAATGACATATGACCTGTGAACAGAAGTCAAACCTGGTAACAATGCTTTGTGAATCAAACCATCCTCATCTAAATGTCGGTCACAACATCTTGTTGTTTCCGGGATGTAAATATTCTTCAGAATGAAAACGTTCACCCTAGCCGTGATAGGCAACCGCCGAACATTGTTCGTAGCTCTGCAGAACAAACAAGGATGGTTGGAAATGTCAGTAATGACGTTGAGTCTCAAGCAACTTGGATTCCGTTCTATTTCGTCAATATCGTTTCTTATATTGATATTGCAATTAAAACATATTTTAGATTCATCATCAATTTCGATGGGCTGCGAACCATGTTCTTTTCGTCTGAGGATAGCGGTTTGTCTGATCACTTGATCATCGTCAATTCGCACCATTTGTCGCGGATTGAATTGACGATTACAAACGTAACAACGTTTGCGGGACGTGAAAGGCATTGTAAGATTTTTGTGACAATGAGGGTGAAAAGAATATTAAATAAGACCGAGACGCAATGATAGAAACAACTAGATACGAAGAAAAAATCGTAGTATTGCGTGAAAAAAGAACAAATGACAACGCTCTCCGGGCGAACCACGTCCGTTCGAGAGAAGAAGAATATCCAATGTTGACGACAAAAACAGGTGAATACGAATGAAAAATCCAAATATTGAGTGAAAAAAGAACTAATGACAACGCTCTCCGGGCAAACCACGTCCGTCCGAGAAAAGAAGAATATCCAATGTTGACGACAAAAACAGGTGAATACGAATGAAAAATCCAAGTATTGAGTGAAAAAAGAACTAATGACAACGCTCTCCGGGCGAACCACGTCCGTTCGAGAGAAGAAGAATATCCAATGTTGACGACAAAAACAGGTGAATACAAATGAAAAATCCAAGTGCAATACCCTGGTGCAAAAAACATGGACACCCTGTATATTCATGCATGTATGTTTATACATGTGATACAGATTCATGCCAACATACATGCGAGCATACATGTATTCAATCCATGCATACAGAGTGAAGATAATACAGCCCAACGCTTATCGAGACATACATGCAAAATAATCGTTTTTTTAATGTTTAAAAAAATATATCTCGAAAACTATGCATAGACGGACTTTTTGACCATTAGAGAGAGAGGTTTTTTGTTCGGAATGATGAAAACTATAACATAAAAAAATTCCAGCCAAATTAACCGATGGCCAATTTCTCATGTAATTAGTGCGTGGTCCTTTCTTATTTTTTAACGTACAATTCAAATCTGTAATAAAAAGTGCTATGTTCCCCTCAAAAAATTCAACTTCCGGTCCGGATGGCGTATTTCCGGTCGAAATCAAAAGTTGAAAATATCACCATTCGATAGAGCATACCCGATTTACTTAAAAAATGTTC